TCAGCTTTGCCATCACAGAAATAAATTACATTTTAAAATATATAAAAATAAAGTTATTTTAAATTTATAATAACACTTATTATTATACATACTATATTATTGCTTTTACCACACTTTAAACCGTAGTGTATATTCACTTAAAAACTAATGTGCCTCCTTACTGTATACTCCGGGCGAAGCCACAATCTTGACGCCTTTGTCCTTAATATTATTATACACTACGTAGACATGAAAGTTATGACTGACCACAAGTCTTATGAGCCTAAGTTATCTAAGAGGCAGGAGACCATAACAAAATTCTCAAAATTCCAGGTTTTTTCAAGAGAACACATCCTTTGTTGTGTCGACTGTGGATAGAGGGCAGGACTGTTCTTGCCTACTTACAAGCGATCCAATTTATAAAAAAGAGCCGCTGTAACACCATTCATTAACAAGAGAATACAAAGGCTTGGTATATGGTGTGCAATGTTTATTGAAACAGATTACTGATTAACAGGGTCAATCCCTTTCAGAGCAGTTAAGAAGAATCATGTTGGTAGAAAATGTCATGAAAAGTGATCCCCTTTAGACATAGTTTGAGGAATTGAAGCGATTAGATCTTGGTCACAGAGCACTGTATGTGTACGGTAGTCTGGAGAGACAAGCGAGAGAGAAAAAAAAAGACAAGACATAGGAATGACCATAGCGCTTTTTAGTTGAATCTCGCCCTTTGCATCAATGGCCTCAGTTTCTGAAATTTACGAGAAGGACTTCTTCTGAGAGAGGTTGATTTTGTCACCCAGACTCAAAGCCATACCCTATTAAAAAAACAGAGGAATTATCAGTCATGCAGTAACAAATTACATAATTCAAGAACTGACAGGTGTAAAAAATAAATTACGACTTTGTAACTGACCATTAAAATATACAAATGACTATGCATTAAAGGCGGTTTTGTAGTTTGATTTTCTGTCACTCATGAAACATTAATAGAACCGATAACAAGGAAAAGTTACACATTTAGTGTTACATATCACTGCAGGCAAGCTAATCCCATTACTGAAATTCTCAATCATTATCCATATCTGTAGACTCATACATGCTAATCCAAATTCACCTGGCTTTTGGCTCGGATGCGAATATGGCCATTGACTGGGGCATCAGCTCCCATGTGGATTGGCTTTTCAATGCTGACGTTTGCAAGGGCATCCTCC